CATTGCCGAGTGCATATACCTTGTCTTATCCCGTCTACTCGATTCCCTTTCAATGAAGAAAAGTGTTCCCAGTTATTCTTATACGCATTATCTGAAACTGCCAATGGCCAGGGACCAAGCTCCTTCAACTACCCGATGACGTGGATCAGGGTTAGGGTTAGGACACCCCCGCATCATCCTGTCAAATTCACATGGTCGAAGACCTTGTACAATTGTCTTGTCGTATTGAACTCAAGCACACTAAAGCACGACGTCAAATCGTCGAGGAACAGCGGGGCAGAGCTGTGCGATGGCTTCTTACAGCCCGACTCGAGTCGACGGAAGCGACGAGGTCGGACCTCTCCGCCGCAGTTTCAATTGCTATACACTAGAAAGCCAGAAAGGCAGTTCTTGACGACGCCAATATCTGAAATGAATTATATAACTTTTGTCGCTCACGCTGTTCATACCATGGACCATGCCGAACTGTACACGGCCCCCGTCGCTTGCTCTCGCCGTGATGAATCTCAATATGTACATTCGAAAAAAAAGTCCCTGCGAACATCTTCATCTTTCACATGTCGATTTGCCATCACCACATCTTTTGCCAGTCTTTGCACAGGCCGAAAACCTCGCGGCAGAATTTCCCATATTCCACAACCAAATTGGTGTGATGCCACGAACCCAAGGCCGCGTGGGCAAGTCTTGCGTCCGGGTGGTCCCACGACTTTTCGCCCATTCTGCTATAACTCTCTCTTGTCGGGCTGCGCAATGTCCTCGTCAGCAAATCAAGTGGGAAAACCGATGCGTTGGTAATGTGCAGCATGCGCGGGGAGATGTGTACCTGAATCCGGTCATGGGGAGAATCAAGACATCGCCAGCGAGCTTCGTCTTCCCATTGTCCTTGAGACCCGTCAGGGCGTCCCACCTCAGACCTTCCCGCTCTTCCAGCCATTTGCGCGTCACCTCCGTGACGGCCGCGGGCCCGGTGCGCGTGAGCGGATCGTAGTGCAGCTGGGAGAGGCCGCCGGTGGACGTGTGCAGCGCCGCCTGTTTGGCCTCGCTGGCCTTGTCGACGAGGCGGTCGAGGAACCGTTGCAGAATGGGGTGGCGAGGGGCCGACGCCAGTGCCCAGTTTGTGAGCTGAATGGCGTACGTGTATCCCATGCGCCAGTGGGCGTCGGTTTTCGGATCCGAGTCGCATTCAATTCCCCATATGGCGTTGACGGGTTGAGCAGCCTGCGCGGGTGTCTGCAGGAGCCGACGCCGCGCGGCGCTGTCAAGGCCATGCGTTTTGCCCGTCAGTTCGTCGGTCCATTCTGCAATGTCGGATTGCTGAATCCAACGGGCGGGATGTTGGAGAGGTTTCGTGTCAATGTCCCCGTACTGGAGTTGTCAGCTCGGGGTTTTGACCAGGATTCTGCGGGCATGTTGCTCGGCACTTACGATGCCTCCAAACCATTTGCACACCATGATTCTGAAAATATCCACCTTTTCCACTGGCGAGAACACGTTGGTGAAGTCGTCTGCCAAGGGTGACTCGAGTTCCTTGACCAGGGACAAGACGCCTTGGTCATCCCAAAGAAAATACGCCATGGGGCTACTGCCCTCCTCGGGCAATGTAGAGTGTGTAAGCCAAGTTTCAACAAAAGAGACGATTCTTGCGTCTGTGCCGTTTAGCCGCGCTGTATTCCATTTTTGATGAACGATTAACGGGATATTTGAAAAGGGGATATGACGCTCGGGATGCGATTGAGCTGCTTGGGAAGCTATGCGTGCAGCCTCGATGATGGTTCGCGGTGGGGTTTGGTCGCTCTTCATCCATTCGGGGGGAATGTACCATGCTGCGAGTGAGTGTCAGCGCCCTGTATTTGCCCTTGAATTTGAGGTGCAAAGTAGTCAGTGGTAGTAGATTGACGCTCACCTCCTCCTTTTCCCCGGAAAGAATGTATATGCTTGTAAACAAGAGGAAAGCCTCTTCGCAAGGCTTCGTCATCCAACGACTGTCGAGGCGGTCGCTTGTGGGCCAGCAGAACCCACGCTATCAGGCAGAATGCAAGAGCTGAGATGATTGCAAGCTTATATTGGAACCGCCGTGCCAGTCGAGGAGCAATCATGTTCGAGGTCGAGCAGACGTACAAATCAACGTGAGCAGGCCGACATCAGCCAGTTTGATCCTTGGAGAAGAGAACAGCATTGAAGCTACTTGGTGCTGGGCAGCTGGCGAGTGGCTGTTGTAATCTTCCATGTCCCAACATTGAACTCATTGACGTCTATACCCCACGCTGAGCAGAATTACGCACGCAGCATGGGTGCCCCTGACGATGATGTGATTGGACGAGAACATTGGGGTTGAAACGCCACAGGGGAAACAAGGCCTGTGAATGCCTTTGTGGAGTGGAGTGGACAGGAACTCTGAACGGCGATTGGCAATTGCCCAATCAGGTCAATGGTTCGAATCTGGATCAAGATGCTGTTGTCGTCATGGTTGTACGCGTCATGAAAATTTGAATATATTTTTGCCCCTTGGCTAAATAGGAGCACGCTCATGGTTCACCAAGCTACTCCGTACATGCTGGGGAAGTGACCGACAGCCCTTCGACTGAGACAAATTGATTCGTCTCCCGATGTAGTACGACGCATCGGGGGCCCAACCAACAGACCTGTAGCCCTTGTCCTTTTTGCTTCTCTTTTTGCCCGTTTGACAAGACCTGTGTGACGCGGGAACTGCCCATCCGTCAGGCAGTGCTCCGTGGGGCTTGCATGCAAGCATACCCAACTGGAAATGTCGGGCTGGGTCAATCTTGAACCTTATCGCTGGTGTCCTGAATCATGTATAACATTCTTACTGTCTTGTCTCCCTTTACTATACAGCTGTATCTGCCAGAACTAGCTATGCAAGTTGGCTAATTCCTTGAATACAATGCAATAATCGTTGCGTAGTCCTCTGCCATCCGTTTCCCAGACTTTCATCGTCGTTTCCCTTGTATCAAGGTTGGCTCGCCCGGAAAGAACCGCTACCTCGTATAATAGTCTCTTAATATCCCGATGTACATGTATATACCGGCTCTGGACAAGATTGTCAACAATGGCGAGCGGGCCATCAAGCAAGCTAAACGTACCCAAAAACTAAGGCGCCAATGACCAAAGGCATCAATTCATAAATGTCTCTGCGAGAGGATTCCATGTTGCGAAAGGACTGTGGTGATGGTTGTGATTACATGGGAGTTGTACGGAGCCGAGTCAAGTCTTAGTAGAGTTTTTTGTGCTCTTACATTGAGCGTGGAATATGCGGAGGAGGCGACAAGAAACTAGTAAAGGAAAAAAAAAGCAATACTGATGAAACAAAAGTGCTGTGTTGGGCGCAATCTGCCTTGCCCAGTCTTTTAATATGCTGTGCAACGCAAAGATTGGTTGGGGATTTTTCCAATCTTATTGATGACGTTGGTCGAGGATGCCGGCTTGTAATAATAAAGGTCCGTGACAAGCTCCCCGAAATCTGACAGATCCCAGTCGCTGGATGCTCTGGTCCAATTGTCCGTCTCAGCCAACGCAGGTAATTTAGGTCGACCGGTTGGTTGGCTGGTCTATTTTGGTCCATGTACACCCAACTTGACATTACATGACCCCGATTTAGAATCATGTACTACTGTGATGTCATGCCCGAATCAGCGTCCAATTTGTGACCTCTATTTTTGGTCGGCTCAGGGATGCCGTCGACTCACCATGCTGCAGGCTATGTATGTATCTCTAATGTCACTCTTGCTGCAGCGTAGATCGTAATAATTTTCTATTGACGTGTCAAAAGGCACCTGCGGAACACCATGGCAGTTGTCCCGGGCCTTGAACCACCCACCATCATCACCATCAACACCATTGTCAGAATCGTAACCCTATGGCCCTTCCCTTCTCTTACGCGTGCAGAAAACTTGAAGCAATGGACTAATCCAGCCATATCCCAACCAGCGAGCATCCCTAGAAAAACGGTGGAGAGTCTGTTCATATGTCTTCCTCTAACTTGGCCAGACCTCAATGGCCGTGGGTCCGATTTAAAACAGCCAACATTGAAGTCATTTGATTCCACATAATGGTTGTCTTGTCACGCCAGACTTTACAATTGACCTCTTGTCATTCTCTCTTAGGGACTCACATCGCCTCATTTCACCCTTCACCTGGATGTGTCTATCTTAGTCCTTCTTGCTTAAAAAATTGTAGGTGCATCAAGTACGTGGTTTTTCTGCAATGGCTCTACATATAAAACAAGATACCGCGCTGCAAGTGTTAGGTATGTTGGCTCTGATGAACCAGCCGGGCTGGGCTGGGGTCTACTGCGAGTTATGGCTATTCCTGGGATCACCGGCAATGTCTACATGTGCGCCTGTTGGGCAAATCAACCACCGACTTGGACATGGAACGGCAGTCTTGTCCTCGATAAACAAAAGGACAGAAACGAAAAAAAAATGCAGTTTTCTGTCCCGCACGAGCAACAGAAATGGTGGACTTGCTAGTTTACCCACTGAGACTAAGCCAATTCACCAACTTGTCCTCCTCGAACCATCGACATGATTGAATAATGGTTATACACAATAAAGCCAGAGAAAGAGACATTGTGCATGGAGAAGCACTCAACCACCAACAGCCTCACTTTCCTGCCCGATGCCGTGGTGGCTGTACCTGTTTTCCTTCGCTGTTGGCTCTACTCCTCGTTTGACGGGAGTCATGGCGGTGACGGACCTCGTTGGTGCATCTTGGCCTGGTCTTCCTGCATGACGTTTCTATTTCCGGAGATTATGATGAAAAGTACTAAATTTGCTGTAGCCGTTGACAATTAAGTTACAAGATGAATTCATGATGACGGAAAGAAAAGTATAAGTATGCTCGGATATTCCAGTCCAACCTACGAATTCAAACACAAACTCACAACCTATTAAACAATCGTCAGCCAAACATCTTCTTCAAACCTCCGCTCCTCTTTTTATTCACCCAATTCACACTTACAACTGTCATTCTCTCTTACCAATATGAAGTTCCTCAAAGCAGTGGGTGTTGCCATCATTTACGCTCAGGGAGCGCTCTCCATGCCAGCGAGTGCCGAAGAGGACTGCGGATCGCTTGGAGTCATGAGGGTTGACGAGGCCAAGCTCCCAGAGGGCGTGGACGCCTCCCAGGTCCGCAAGTGCCTCGGTCACCCGGAAGGACACGGGACCGACCATAGTGGGAAAGCTCTATTCGCGCGCGAGTGTGAGTTTAGATGGGCTTGGGGATGTAGCCGTGGTGGCTACTGCTGGAAATCCTGTGACCCGGACAACAACGGAAAATGGTGCTGGACTGCTGAAGCCTCAGGCCTCGGCCCGTGGATTCGGTGCTCGTCTTACAAAGACTGCGAGAGGAGTATGGCTTGTGGCGAAGGGGGTTGCGACGAGTGTGGATGTGGCTGCTAGACGTCTCTGCAGTCGTGAGCATTGCTATCTGAATCTGGGATGCATAATTGGTGTCAGTTACGGATCATATCCATCACCAAAGGTCTTGCGGCTGTTTTTAGAGCCAGCATGTGCTTTGCTCGTCTTTGGAGGAGATCTCGCCCTGGTTGCTTTGATGGAAAGGGCTTGGCGGTCTACAAAGTACTTGAACATTGAATAGTGAAATAACAGCTTGGTATCTATCTGACCCAGAAAGAACCTATCGATACTACTATCACACGGTCCAGCCACCAACGTCGGTCATATCTTAGCACTTGACAGCTGTATTGACAAAGCTGGATGTGAGGCTCCATCACGCTGCAGCCTTTTTAAGTAATTGCACGTTCTACAAGACAGTATATCCATTGGGAGCTGCATGCATGGGAGATATGCATAATGATAAGCTTGATTTGGCAAGGGCCTTACCCCTGGGCCCTTAATGCGTTCCACACACAAGAAAATGGGAAATGTGTCGTCATCAAAAAAAAAGCGTCCGGTAATACGGTATTTCGGCTTTAAATTGACGGAAATACCGTCCGCCCATGTTTCTCAGTGCCTACGAGGGCGGGACGTGTGCTACGACTTCAAAGACGTCCCATGCTCGCTTCACGTCCGAGAGTCAACGAACCAGTATGAAGCCGTCTCAAGACACCTGGTGCCGCTGCTTACGCTCATTGGAAACTGTCGACAGGGAGCAGTGATGATCCCCAAGACCCCTGCTCATTTCTGAGTATGAGACTAGAGCTTGCATGAAGCCCTCAGGGGTGCGCGCATACATTGATGGCCACATGTAGGCTAACAGGTGTCGATCAATGCTCAAGTATTCACGGCGCGGCCTCCACGAATATTGGAACGAAATCACAGTAATGGTGCCCCTGTTGATTGACCACGCCACCGTTCGGCTGCGGCCTGGGTGGCAAAATCAGTCCTAACATTACTGCATTAAGGCAAAAGTATTTCAAAGTGTTAGACTCTTGCGTTTCTGCGATGTAACAAGCGGAAGGGGGCAGACATGAATAGATGGAGAATTTGAACCGCGCATTGCGAGAACACATGTCGAGATTCCTGCAGATATTAACCCAACTTTGTCATATGCTTCGTTCCTATGCTTCTTTTCCTAGGCTGAGAAAGGGCCAGTGCCGTTGAAGGACGTTCTAGACTTTTACTTGTACAGACTTATATGTTTTACACCTTCCGACGCTATCACTAGAAACACCCGCGCAGCGAAAGGAAGCTCACGAGTATGACGCAACACAATGTCCATCAATAGCATTCGCCTGTGTCCTTGGTCCTCGATAGCAGGTTTGGTGAAGCGCCCGGGAGAGCAGCCTCGTACCGCCCCCGCTGGAGAAGCTCCTCCGTCTTTGAGCCATTTAATCTAAGCCGTCTGGTTATTTCTAGACCGGGTTATGATTTTAGAGCCAATCATGGATAGCAGCCAAGTGGGTGGTGCCTCCGGCTCTTCAGTGTTTCCAACAAGGACAAAAACATTGGGTTTAGCGTTGACAACTATGCATGGTCCCTTAATTGTATACGTACTAAGTGTGCTTAATATATTAGTATATTATCTAATATACACTTTAAGGACATTATATAAAAAGGCTGTGAAGCTGTTCAGGAAAATTAGTAAAGTTTCATGTTCGCAGGTTATCACAAGCTACAAGCAACCACTACTTAACCACAAGCTCGAGGTAAGCCCTCGCAACAAGAGTATTTCAAGTATCACTTAGACCGCCACACAGGCAAAGTTTCAACACCGTGGTTTAGTTCAAAGTGATATCACCACACCGGATTCAAAGCGGAGTAAAGTAAATAACAGTTCTATTTATCTAGCTATAAAGATATATTTTTATTTCCTCCCCCATACAATTAGCAATCTTATAGCTAATCGGCGTTCCATCTGCTAACATGGTTTCTGTGACTTTAGACAGTACCATACAAACATCCATTCACTTTATTAGCAAACGCCTGCGAGCCTCAGCAGTAAGCGCCCAGAAGGTCAAATTATCTATCTTATAAGAGTTCTTCCTGCTTATTTTATTAGTTATTGCCCTTAATAATATTTATAAATCCTTACACAAATATTTCTACGGTTCTTAAAAATACCAAGAACAGTATTAATAACAGTCCAACCATGTCATCCTATTATTCACCAAAGCGCTTAAAAGTCTAAACTTAGCTTCGTGGGGTCCTAGAATTTAAGGCTTTATCTAGGGAGCTAAGAAACATGTCAATTACCTGGGTTTCGTTGCGCTGACCGCGTTTGGCAACGATTAAATAATTTCAATGTTAGACGATCTTATCGAATGCGTCTTTCAAGCACGTCTAAAAACACTAACAGCTGGGTATGACCAAATCTAGGAGGCAGATTCTTATCTTTCCCTGTGATAACACGATGTAAGGCTATATAACCTTTGATTCCAAGTCGAGTTAAATAACTGGAATATGCGGAGGCAGGGCAATCAGCTGCACTAATAAAGTCCAAGTAACCTATATTGCTTCCTAAGTTTATATAAAATATTAAATTAGCTCTTCCATAATAAACCTCCCGCTGAGGCTCAGCATCTGGGCAGGGAACTTCGTCCTACTTTGCTTTACGTGCGTGTTATTTTGTCTGTTACTAGCCTTTAATTTCGGCTTTGGTCTTGATGAGACTAAGCTAGGAGGCCGAATAAACTTAGTTAGGGCAGCAGGGGAGTGGTTGTCTACTATTGCGATTAGCCAGGTGCAGATTCAGAATGAGGTCAACATGCTTGTAGTGCGACTTTGCAGAATGATATCTCCATCAAAGTCAAGTTGAGCCATTTGCGAGGCTTGACTTGAAGCATGATACGGTTTTACAAGGCGTAGGAGTGCTTGGGAGAGTTGGCACTGTAGGGAAGCTGAATTGTCTTGGTTCACAACCTGTGCTGCAGCACCGAGCGGTTCATCGTGCAATGGTAGCAAAGCAAAAGCTCTGCATAATCCGTTAATTTGGTCATTCGCCATGATTTTATGTGCTTTTACCCTAAACTTGAATGTAGCTACTTTAATATTTATAGGAACAGCGTTGTTCCGGAGTCTTTATTCTTTAAAACTGAACCATTCTGTTAGCCACCCCGGGGTGAACATTTGCACGAAATTTCATTCTATGCCGAAACTTCAACCCTTTGACAGCCCATCATGTTAGGCACTATAGTCCCCTTCTTCTCCATACTCCCCGTTTCTCTCATTGAAAATGAAAGCAATGAATAGTACCCGCAAATGTAAAGCGGCAAAATTTTAGCGCACGCTGTTCTCCCAGGCGAATGCATGGCAGGCAGCAAGCGCTGTGAATAAAGTGCTAGTGTGGTATCCAAGATACTGCTCAAGCTTTGAGATAGAGGGTGTACAAGTCTGGTCCTATGCTATGGCGTCCAAATGCAGTTTAAGGATTGGAAATAATGCTGTGGTCAAAGAGACGAAATCGAATGGACGCAGCCAAATGGGCGCCAAAAAACGAGTCAAATGGACAGCCAAATTACGCAGCCAGATGGGCAGCTAAATTACGCAGTCAAATGGACAGCCAAATTACGCAGCCAGATGGGCAGCTAAATTACGCAGTCAAATGGACAGCCAAATTACGCAGCCAAGGGTCCAAATACAAAAGACCATGGAACTTGTACGATTACAGCACAGATAACTGAACGTAAAGTCCTGAAAACAATATCATTAATGCTACCAACATGCCACGTCGCCACAATATCAGTCCCGGGAGACAGGAAAATGTCTTTTCTCAAATCGCTCCTAGCCAGCTCTACCCAATGTCTACCCCCACATTCACCAACAATTGGACCGAGAGAACGGCAGATGAAGTATCACGTTATGAGGATATTTGTGGAAGATTCATCAAATTTAACGCGAAAAGAGACTTTTTTGACACTTGGGAAACAGTTGTAGACTCCTGGACTGCCCTTCTTCGAATAACATCTCTTCCGAGCAATAAACCTATTCGACGTACGCATGTCATTACAGCGGTGAATGCACTCGGGAGTGTCATCAACGGCCACCCTGGAGTGAGCCTACCAGCCAGGTTTGGTTACTTCCAGCTAG